GCGGCGGGAGGAGGAGGGAGGAGGAAGGAGGGCCAGGGTCAGCAAAGCTCAACCACCACTGGCACTGCCGCAAGCCGCACTCTTCCACCACGGCGAGGGCCCACCCCGGAAGACGGGGGCCTCCGCGGGCCCGCCGCGGGCTCGGGGCACCGCGGGCCCCGGCACGGCAGGCGGCATCCCCAGCGGGCTGTTGACGAACCCGTCCGTCCTACGATGGGAAGGAGCGGGCTGGGGCGAGGCCTGCAGGGATAAATGAGGGCCGCCACGGGCCCGCCGCAGGCTCAGGGCACCGTGGGCCCTGCCGCGGGAGGTGGCATGTGAAACGGGCCACGGGGGGGTGGGGGGCATTGGCCTCATGATGAGGGGGAGTGGACTGGCGGGAGGCCTGCGGAGATGCGGAACACGAAGGGCTGGAGACCCCCCTGACCGAAAAAACCCAAAACGAGGAAAAAAAACAAAATCCGAACCGAGGATAACTTGAAAGGAGGCCACCACGAAACGTGACCTGCATATTCAGAAAGGAATCACAGACACTCAGCAGCTGTGGTAATCGAATGGGTATTGCAGGAGTCCTCCAGATTCCTCAGGAGTCCTCAGAGTCACCAGAATCCTCCTGATTCCTCCAGATTCTTCAGGATTCTTAAGATTCCCCAGGAAACTTTACAATATTTCTGGAATCATCTGGATTCCTCCGGAATCTTATGAATCCCCCAAGGTGTTCCGGGGCTCCTCACGAATCATCCTGATATTTCATGATGTCTCGGGGCTCCGCAGAGTTCTTCCGGATTTCTCATGAATCCGCAGGATCCTTCGGATCCTCGGCATCTTCAGAACATCAAGATTCCTCTGGAGTAGTCAGGGACCATCAAAATCTCCAGGATTCCTCCAGAATCATCAAGACTCTTCAGGATCCTTCAGGGCTCCTCAGGACTCCTCAAGATTCCTCAGAATCCTCAAGACTCCTCAAGAATCCTCAGAATTCTCCGGGTGCCCCAGGAACCTCTCAGAATTCGTCTGGATTCCTTTGGAATCTTAAGAATCACGCAAGTTTCCCCAGGACCCCTACGGATTGCTCAAAGGCCCTGAGGATTCATCGAGCTTGTTCCGAAATCCTTAAGATTCTGCCAGATTCCACCAGGATTATTCAGAATCCTCTGGGATCTTCAGAAGCCTTCAGGATTCCTCGGAAGTCCTCGGGAACCCTCAGAATCCAACATGATTCCCGAACCCCGTCCCTTGGAACCTCTCAGGATCCCTCTGGCGTCTTCACCATCCCCAAGATACCTCAGAACTGCGCCAGAATACTCAGTCTCCTTCTGAAGTCTCCAATCTCCCTCATGAACACTGAGAATAATTCAGGATTCATTGGGGTTCCTCGGGAATCTTTCCGAATCCCTCAGGCTTCCGCAGGGATCCCTAGAATCAAACGATTCTTCCGGAATCCCCAGAATTCGTTGGGATGTTCTCGATTCCTTCGGACTCCTCCGAATTCCTCAAGATCTCTCAGGCTTCCTGAGGCACCCTCAGAAACCATCAGGCTTCATCAGGAATCCTCAAAAACCCGCAGGTTTCTTTTGGAATCCTCGGCGCAGCCCGCAGCCCCATATCGTTGCACGAGACGGGCTACGCCTCGAACCGCTCGGGCTTCTAGCATCGACCACGGGCGATGCGCGAGACAGGGGTGCGATGGCATGCGGGTATGGACGCTGAGACACGAGTGTCGATTCAAATGGACAGAGGTTTTTTGAATCGACATCTAGATATGATACAATGTTCTCGTACGACTGTCATATGTTTAAGCCACACGTGGAGAGTCTATGTGTTTGGGAAATGTTGCTGCCGTTTGGAAATTCATTGTTTGGGGAATTCTACGCTGGTTGGAGATAAACTCCAGATTTGGGACATTGTAAGCCTCAAAATCAGGATTCCCGAAGAATCCGTCAGGATTCCTCAGGGCTCAACAGGCATACTGAGGAATCCATGAGAACCCTTCAGGGTGACTCAAGATTCCTCAAGATTCCTCTGGTATCCTCGAAATCCATCCGGATTCCTCTGGAATATTTCACGATGCCTCCAGAGTCCTCTGGGTTCCTCGGGATTCCTCAGGAATTATCAGAATCCCTCAGGATTCCTCGGGAACCCGCAGAATCCCGCAGGACCCCTCAAGACTCGATTCCTCAGGAATCCCTCAGAATCCTTGAGGGCTCCGAAGAAAAACAAACAATGGTTCCTCGGGAACCTCAGGATCCTTCAGGATTCATTGAGTTGTCCCGCTCTTCATCGTGCTACTTCTCTCTATCGCTTGGGGCTTATGCGTGTGGGGCGGCATCCCATGAGTCCCAAGCACAAGACCCATCCCAGATCCCGCAATGCCGTGCACTAGATATTCTTCCCTGACCTCGAAATCCACTGCGGTTGAGCACCGCTGTATCTCCCAGGAGCCCAGACCTGAAGGGTGGATAAGGGGGGAGGCGAGGATCGATGATGAGGATGATGATGCTGACGACGATGCCCGCTGATCCTCGTCCTCATCACCTTCCCTCCAATGGACCTGACACGGTATCTCTCCAGCGTCCCAAGCCGCCCTCCTCCAAACAAAACACAAAAAAGAACACTTCACTCAGAGAGAGAGAGAGAGAGAGAGACCACACGCCTTCCCTTACAGCTCCACCCCTCCCCTACCCTCCCTCCCACCTCCTCCCTCCTGCCTTATCTTCCTCCTTCTACCCTCTTGGCGGTATCGGTGCGTTTTCCTCCTCTGAGGCTAGCGCCACACAGTGGAGGGCTGCATAGAGGCGGGGCCGCGCATCGCTCAGGACAGCAGGCTTCCAGACAGGGTACCGCGGCTGGGCGACAGGGGCACCAGCCACCGCGAGCACAGCAGCAGGCTGACGATTGCGAGCAGCGCGCCCGCCAGGAAGGGCAGGCAGGAGACGTGGCGGCTCGAGCCCAGCAGGAAGATCGGGCGACGGAATCTGCACGTGTCCACTGCCCCCCTGGCTGGGCCCTCCCTGGACCCAGGAGCCGTGTTCAGACGCCCTCCTGACCGAGCCGGGAGGACATGGCGTACACACCGCTGTTGGGTTCAGGAGGCGCCTGGCCAGGGAGCAGTAGATGTGTGTGTGTGTGTGTGTCGATTCCGTCGCCCTGGAAGAGCGAGCCGAACAGCAGGGGCGCAAGGGCGCTGGCGGCCCCAGCGACGCTGGTGATGAGGCCGCTCCTCGGGGAGGCAGAGCCGCATCGGTGGCACGACGCCGCGGGGCACCCATCGGCGCGCCACCTGGTCGAGGGGGCGCGAGGCCCCCGGACCAGAACAGCGAGGGAGCAGCACGCCGACGGGCTTCCAGCGGCGGCGCGTCATCGACACGCTCTTCGCCTGCCGAGCTCCCGCGCCCCTGGCAGCTCGCCGGCAGCGCCTGGGAGACCATCGCACGCAAGATCGCAGGCTGCGACAGCGGCGCCCCCATCAGCAGGGCGTTGGCGAGGAGGACCCCGCGGCTCGACATGTCGGCGTAAACGAGCAGGTGCAGCAGGTTGAATCCGCTGGCCCCCGCTCGGGCCGGGCGACTCTGGATGCCTTCTGCGTCCAGGGGGGGCCGGAGAGAATGAACACCTCTGGGACAGCCCTGGCCGTTTCGGGACCTGCTCTTTCCGTTCCGCCACTCCGCCCAGCTGACTGCGAGGCGAGCGACGGAGACCGAGCCGCACCACCAAAGATGAAGAGAAAAGCGCTGCCAAGGGCCTCGACGATCGAACGCAGTGGTAGTCGAACGTCGATCGAATCGGTCGCACGGGCGCATCAAGCCTAAGTGAAGGCGTGACACAACCGCACGTGAACGAAAGATGAATCGCAAGACGGCGTGATCGATCGAGCCGAAAGGGTCATATTATCCGAGGCGGTGCATTCAATCGAATCGGCTCGTGGGCAACCCCTGGTCTGCAAACAAATACTGATCGGAAGCAGCTGCTGGGGATTTAGGGGATCGTCTTCGTTGTATGGGAATGGATCCGCCCGAGCCAGCCCCGGGGGGCGGAACGGCGCGTGGCCCGTCGCCCGCGCTGGCCGTAGCCATCGGATAGATGCCTCATGTGTCTCTTCGCTGCCCGCCAGGGACTCTCCCTACCGGCTTCTTAGCGACCACCCCGTGGCTACCTCATAGCAACCCATGGCTGCCTCGTCTACCAATTCACAGCTATCTGGTTCTAACCCAGGAGCTGAGTGATGACAGCCCAACTGCACTGCTGAGCGCCTCCGCCCTACCGCATGGGTATCCTTCGTCTGCTTCGCACATCACGACTACATCAAGGCCATGCCATGTCTTCCACTTACCACCCGCCCGTGGCTGCTTCACAGCATGCTTCAAGGCAGCCTGTGATTAGTTTCGTGTCCGTTGGGACAATACAACCCTGGATTGCCGAACTGTAGCCAGGGAACAAGAAGTCTCTGGAGACTGCGGCCAATGCAGGTCCAGGAAAATCAGTCTTGGGGTCAGGCGATGCTCTTAGCCTTCCTGGGGTACTGAACAAGAACTCGTACTGTCACTGTCTAACCATAATACGAGCTCTGCGGGGCGGCCAGGACCTTCCCGAGTTGGAGACACAGCAAAACCTTGACATTCTCCCTGGCCCCTTCACCCACCGACAGTCTTCCCCTTCCAAAAGCCCGCAAAATGCAGGGTCGGTATCGAGTGCTAGCTCCCCACCACCTTGCCTCGCATCTACCCGAATGGATGGTCGCGGACAGTGGCTAAACCCAGAGACCCTACCTGACTCAGTTCTTAAAGGCATATGTGGAAACCCTCCTAGAACCTCACTGGATCAAGACCGCCATCGATTCACTCATCGAGGAAGGCGGTCAGCTCATGCGAGGCCAAACGCAGCCCATCAGATCCACCAAGAAGTAAATTATTAGTTTAAGACACGAAATACGCATCAATCGATGGATCAGTGGATTGATCACCTGATTCGTCGACACATGACTTGGAAGCGATGGCTCAGTCATGCGCGTGAGCGCCAATCTGCAGTTCTGCGAGCAGCTGCTTAGTCCACCGAGGTCGGGCAGCCACACGCCGCTAAGCGCCCGAGATAGAAGCATGACCTGGAACACGCGCACCTGGTCCTGGCAAACGCGGCCAAGCATCCGCAGTCCGAAGCTGAGCCACACGATGCTGCAGACGCCGCCGATGCAGAGCATCTGCGCAAGCAGCCTGGAGGTCTCCAGGCCCGACAGGTCAAGGCCTCGAGTGACGTCCAGCCGATTCGGCGGACGGCCACGAGACTCGATCAAAAGACGTCCCGACAGGCTCAGGTCACAACTCCCAATCGCTGAGGCATCTAGGTATCGAGGTGAATCGATCGCACGACCAGCAGTCGGCGTGATCTCAACAGGCAACTGTGAGATCGGCGCGCAACATTAAGGTCCCCACGCTGCTTCGCGTAGTACGGCGAGATGGCCACAACTCCGTCCTGTGGCAGAAAAGACAACAGCCCAATCCAACCGACATACCTCAGCAGCCAGTCCTGTGAGCTGTTGCCACCCCCTGCGCCAAGGATCTGCAACAAGGACTTCTGCCTCACGATCTCGCCCTGCCCGCCTCCAGATCCGCCCACTGGTGCCGTCTCTGGTACTACCCAGGAGAACAGGAGACCAGACACCAATGCGGTGAAAACGCCTGCCCTGACGATGCCGTTCGGGCCAAGGGCCGCCTGGGCGAGTGACGACAGCCCTGTGCCAGCCGAGAAGGAAGCGAGGAACCCAGCTGAGCCCAGGCCAAAATACATCAAGCGATCTGCGGCCGGCACCACGTCCGCGACCATAGCGAAGAACATGGCATCGGGAGCGGGCGCAGCACCGCTGAGCACCTCGGGGGGCTGCCGCTGCACCTACCAGTTTGGTCACCCTCGCTTGCCTTCCCCCCGTCTCCCCTCCCCTCCCCGAGATCCCTCTCAGATGGAGGGGAGGTTGCGGGGGTGGGGGACAAAAAGCGACACTAACATGGACTTTCGGAGGTCCGTGCGGACTTCTTGGAGCAGCGCTGAACCCCTCTCCCTGGCGAGCTCCGCGCGCCGCGGGCGGCGCCGGAGGGGCCGCCAGGGGGCCCAGTGCAGATCCAAGAAATCCGCACGGAGCTCCGAAAAAGTATGTTTCTAGCTTTTTGTTGTCCCTCAACTCTCAGATGGAATTGGAGGCTTGGAAATGGGCACCGACATCGACACAGGGGGGTGCCTCCACCGGGGGAAGACGATCCCACATTTGGGTGTGAGTGGTAATCTCCCAGCCACCTGGGAAGCCCGTATGTTACAACCATCACCGAGATCGGTATCCCCATCCCTCGGTGGATGCACACCGCCATTAGTGGTGTTGGTGTCAGCCTCCAGGTCTACGATGGAAGGTGGGTGCGCTGGTGGGAGGGCCGACTCGGTGAGTGCAGCTGGAGTCTCCCGGCACCGTGGCGGCGTAGAAGGGGCGGAGGTCCTCGGGGAAGGCGCAGAGGCTGACGGCGGGCAGCACCCTGGCGGCCATGCCCGCCACCAGCAGGGCCTTCCTGCCATGGCGATCCTCGGAGGAGAAAAAACGGCAGACACACAAACGTTCGAAGCTCCGCGCGGAGTTCTTGGATCGGCGCTGGGGCCCACTGGCAGCGCCTCCCGCGCCGCGCCCGGCGCGATCCGCGCGACAGCGAGGGGAGCCTGGCGCCGATCCACGAAATCCGCGCGAACCTCCGAAAGTTGATATGGCTATGCCATTGTTTCTCCTTCGGGATCAGACGCCGCACCGTATGCCGGCGACAGCGCAACGATCAGCAGGTTGTAGAGGCTCTGCGCGAGGCTGTTGGCAAACGAGGCGCGCGCGGAGCAGGTCGCCTGTGTGCGTGCCCCCTCGGGCGGGGAGCCGCAGTCAGTCGAGCGCTCGAAATCCGCCGCCGAGCCGCTAAGCGCGTAGCTGAGTGATTGTAATGCTCCTGTGCTGTCAGGCTGAGTCTCTGTACCCTTGTAGAGGCCTCCCCCCGTACGAGTGTCCAGCTGCATGCATCGCCCCCCCATTGCTCACTCCTAACGTTCTCGCCTGCTCCAGGCTGGCCAAGACGCCCCCAAGGCGGCCAAGACAGCCCCAAGACAGCCCCAAGACAGCCCGAAGATGTCCCCGAGACGACGTCAAGACTCCCCCGACGCCCCTTGATAGCCGCAGAAGGCTTCAAGAACGCCCCAAGAAGAAGCCGAGTGGCCCCAAGAGACCTCCAAGAGGACATCCCCCAGCCAAGAGGAATCCCTCAGTATGACGCCAGTCTTCTCTATCAAAGTAATGGACGGGGCTCCAAGATACCCCCAGGACCTTCTCCTTCAGCGGCTCCAAAGAGGCTGCAAGCGGTCCCAAGCCAGCCAGACAAGGGCTATAACCCCAAGACGTGCACGAATTCCCCAATCCTGCTTGCACTCAATGGGTCCTCGCGCATGATGCTGTCAGGATTTGGCGAAATTGTAAAGCCGATTTCGGCGAGCGTCCAGGTTCCTAGGTTCCCGAGATACCCCAATTCATGTAGATATTGTCGCAGATGTTGGAGGATTCGTCGAAAGAGGGCCGCCGATTTCGGTGGGCGGCCAGGTCCCCACATTCTCAGAAGCGGTAAGTTCCTCGCAGCCTCAACAGAGCAGACAGAGTCGAGAGTAGAGGGTAGCAGCTAGAGGGTGAAAGATCAGGGGAGAGGGAACACAGGGCATGGTGCACAGAGCAGAGGACACCAGTAGAGCGCGAAGAGAAGCAAAACTTAGAGTCGAAACAAATCACCACACTGTAGCCAGCCAAACCAGCCAGCCCAGCGCAGACAAAACCAACCCAACCAGCCGCCCAGCCAATCAGGCCACCAGCGCGCCGCTCTTACCCTCACCGCGCTTGCTGGCCAGTCCCCTCCTCGAGACTGTCGTCACTCTTCAGGCCCCGCCGAAAGCTTCGCAGAGGGCCAGGCGAGACGGCCCAGAGGGGGGGGGCACAATCGCACAGCAGGGCAGGGGTCCGCCCCCCGAAGGCGGAAGCACTCGACGCGCCCAACTGGACGACGCCGACACCACGGCAAACCCGCGGTCAACCAGCCAGCGCCCCGCGCCCAAGCAGACGACGCTGGCACCGCGGCAAACCCACGGCTGGCCCTGCGCCCAGGGCGGCAGTTGCCATGGTGCCCGAGGCGCCCTCCCCAGGACGGAAGGCCGCGCGTCGGAACAAGCGGCGCGGCGACACATCATACTTTGGAAGTCTGATCCTTAACACTGTCGTCATTATGGAACCTTAGGCCGCCAGTGGGCCCTCCTCTGGCCGCCTGTGACTTCGCAGACCCTGTGGTGCCGTCAGCGGCTCTCATAAACCCCGCGGTGGGGAAGAAAGATGAGAAGGGGGAAAAGAAAACTGAAAGGGAGGACGGTGAGGAAAAGTATGCGGGGGAGGAGGGGGAGGAGGAACAGGCGGAGTAGGAGGAACGGGAGGGAGAGGCAGGAGAGGAAGAGGAGGAGGAGGAGGAGGAGGAGGAGGAGGAGGAGGAGGAGGAGGAGGGGGAGGAGGAGAAGAAGAAGAAGAAGAAGGGGGAGGAGGAGGAGGAGGAGGAGGAGGAAGAGGAGGAGGAGGAGCAGCAGCAGCAGCAGCAGGAGGAGCAGCAGGAGGAAGAGGACGAGCAGCAAAAGCATCAACGGCGGCATCATCAGGAATAGGCGAAGACGGAGGCGATGGAGAAGGAGGAAGGGCAGGAGGGAGAGGAGAAGGAAGAGCAGAAAGGGAAGGCAGAGGAATAGGCCAAATGTCATGAGGGAGAGGAGGGCAACAGGAGAAGCAACATAGGATATGGAAGGGCAGGGGGAGAAGAGGAGCAATAAATAATGAACTGGAGGAGGATGACGAGAACGACAAGCAGCAGCATGCCGAGTATGAAGAGATATGGTGACAGTCAGAGCATGAGGAACACAGAGAGAAGGAGGAACAGCAGCAAGAAACCTAAACAAAATTACCCTGGCCACGTACCCAACCCTTGCGCCATCAGGGGCATGAGTACATCAGGATTGATACAACGGGGGCGATGACGTAACATGGTCGCATGCGATTTTGCGAGCAGCAATCGGAAGGCTCGCAGGCCACCGATCAAGATATAAGGGCGTCGTAGCGATTACTAGCGCAGCCCACCCCCCACCCCCCCCCAGGGACGGCGAGGTTTCGCTCAGATCCCCGCGGTGTCTCACTCCGCTGGACCCAACAGCAGCCCTCGAAAGTGGCGACAGTGTCGCAGATCGCAGCCCCCCAGGGACGGCGAGGTCTCGCGCAGGTCCCCGCGGTGCCCCAGCCCGCAAGACCCACCAGCAGCCTTCGAATGTGGCGACAGCTTCGCAGATCGCAGCCCCCAAGGACGGCGAGGTCTCGCTCAGATCCCCGCGATGCCTCAGCCCGCAGGACCCACCAGCAGCCCTCGAAAGTGGCGACAGCTTCGCAGATCGCAGTCCCCCAGGGACGGCGAGGTCTATCTCAGATCCCCGGGGTGTCTCACTCCGCTGGTCCCACCAGCAGCCCTCGAAAGTGGCGACAGCGTCGCAGGGACGACGAGGTCTCGCTCAGCTCCCCGCGGTGCTTCACTCCGCTGGGCCCACCAGCAGCCCTCGAAAGTGGCGACACTGTCGCAGATCGCAGCCCCCCAGGGACGGAGAGATCTACCTCGGATCCCCGCGGTGCCTCACCCCGCTGGACCCACCAGCAGCACTCGAAAGTGGCGACACGTTCGCAGATCGCAGCCCCCCAGGGACGGCGAGGTCTCGCTCAGGTCCCCGCGTTGCCCCAGTCCGCAAGACCCGCCAGCTGCCTTCGAAAGTGGCGACAGTTTCGCAGATCGCAGCCCCCCAGGGACGGCCAAGTCTACCTCAGGTCCCCGCGGCGCCTCACTCCGCTGGACCCACCAGCAGCCCTCGAAAGTGGCGACAGTGTCGCAGATCGCAGCCCCCCAGGGACGGCGAGGTCTCGCTCAGATCCCCGCGGTGCCTCACTCCGCTGGACCCGCCAGCAGCCCTCGAAAGTGGGAACAGTTGCGCAGATCGCAGCCCCCCAGGGACGGCGAGGTCTACCTCAGGTTCACCGCGGTGCCTCACTCCGCTGGACCCACCAGCAGCCCTCGAAAGTGGCGACACGTTCGCAGATCGCAGCCCCCCAGGGACGGCGAGGTCTACGTCAGGCCCCCACGGTGCCTCACCCCTCTGGACCCACCAGCAGCCCTCGAAAGTGGCGACAGCTTCGCAGATCGCAGCCCCCCAGGGATGGCGGGGTCTACCTCAGATCCCCGCGGTGCCTCACTCCGCTGGGCCCACCCGCAGCCCTCGAAAGTGGCGACACGTTCGCAGATCGCAGCCCCCCAGGGACGGCCAAGTCTACCTCAGGTCCCCGCGGTGCCTCACTCCGCTGGACCCATCAGCAGCCCTCGAAAGTGGCGACAGCTTCGCAGATCGCAGCCCCCAGGGACGGCGAGGTCCGCCTCCCCGCGGTGCCTCACTCCGCTGGACCCACCAGCAGCCCTCGAAAGTGGCGACACGTTCGCAGATCGCAGCCCCCCAGGGACGGCCAAGTCTACCTCAGGTCCCCGCGGTGCCTCACTCCGCTGGACCCATCAGCAGCCCTCGAAAGTGGCGACAGCTTCGCAGATCGCAGCCACCCAGGGACGGCGAGGTCCGCCTCAGGCCCCCGCGGTGCCTCACTCCGCTGGACCCACCAGCAGCCCTCGAAAGTGGCGACACGTTCGCAGATCGCAGCCACCCAGGGACGGCGAGGTCTACCTCAGGTCCCCGCGGTGCCTCACCCGCCTGGACCCACCAGCAGCCCTCGAAAGTGGCGAGTCCCCCAGGGA